AAAAAAATATATATATATATATATATATGCCGCTGTGTGTATGTATATTTTCGAATTTCTTGATATATTTTCTCGATCTTAAGAGAAAAATATTTACAAAACGACGAGAGTTTTTTTTGCAGAAAGAGAAGACGGTGGTGGAGAGAGGAGAGAGAAAATAGATGCAACCTTAAAAACACATATATTCTCGTCTTTTTGTTCTGTGTGCGTCTAGGCAAAGGTCAAAAAGGACTGTCCAATAATTGTGTGACACGTGTCTATGCGGTGAGCCCAATTTGATGACGTATTTGCATCTGGAGTGAATTAATTTGGCGATGCTTGTGTCACGGGGCTGTGTGATTGGTGATGTCACAGACGGATCTCATCCGTTGATGTGGGAGGAAGAGGAAGAACCGGCGAAGCTACGGTACGGTAGGTGATAGTTTTGATTAGGTGAGGCTGGGAATAGCGTAGGCTGGGCGTTGACTTGTTTGTGATGACCAATGAGCAGCAGACACGTGACAACACGCAAAGAGTGTGGATTGCTGGTGAGTGAGAGAAAAATAAATTGGTGGTTTCATTTGGTCAGATTTTCAGAAACTTTGGGCGAATATTCGGGAAGATAGGTGTGCATTTATGCGAGGCGTGCATTGATATCTGATAGCACTCGTGTAATATTTATAAACTAGTGTACACCACGTGCGACAGGGCCGGCTCTAGGGGAGGCAATTTATACATGGGCTTAGGGCCTCCCTTTTATTTGGGGCCTCATATTTATTTTTTTTTAATATTATGTATTTGTGTTGAGTTTTGTCTGCCTTATTATTTTTTAATATTATATATTTGTGTTGGATTTTGCCTACTTACACAATATTTACACAAAAGAAGGGGTTAATGGCTAAATATGGACTTAAATCATTACACAAATGAAGGAGCTAATGGCAAAAATATGTAGTTTGTGTGGAAAATTGAGGCCCTAAATATTTCATTTGTTTTCGTACGATGTTCGGTCAGAACAAGTTGTGTGAAAATAAATATTCTTTGTAGTGATATGATTTTTATTTTCTTGTCTTTAGTGTCCTCGTGATTGGTTGATTGTAATTTATTAAAGATTTTTGTAGCCCGGAGGTAATTTATCAATTCCAAGTTCAAGAAAAACAATATTTTTTTTCAATTATTTATTTATTTATTTAATAGTCTCGTTAAAATTTATGATTCTATCTGCGAATAGCCCTAATTACCACGTAAGTTCAAATCGAAAAAATTCGAAAAGAAAAAACTTGCCTAGGGCCTCCGAATTTCTGGAGACGGCCCTGCCGTGCGATGCACGGGAACAATATTAAATTAACAATATTATAAATAAATCTCGAGTTTGAGTCACTCAATGGCGGAAGTGGAAATTACTATTGATCCTATTTAAAAAGAGGAAGAAAAAAATAATAATTATAAATTAAAGAGGAGAATAAACAATACTTAATAATTATAAATTAAAGATTCGAGGTCAAACAATGTAAAATTATTTTGTATAATAGAATATAAAATTTACATTATTTTGTATAAGAGAATATAAAATTTGTACGTTTAATATTAAGAACACCTAAAATATTATATTAGTATATGTAATAGTATTCAAATTTTTTATATGATTTTTGAAAGATGTGAAATCACCTACAACTTTTCTAAATAATGATGAAAAACATATCTAAAAACATTTGAATTTAACATTGTGTAAAAAAAAAATTTGTAGACTATTTTGTAAATAAAACATGTCTACATATATTTAAATTTAACATCAATAATGTGTATGTGTATATGTATAAATATATAGACGAATATGTAAAAAAATGTCTAAACAATTTGTTTTAAGTATCTAAAATATTATAAGTCTAATTTAATAAAATCATACCGAATTTATGGTGTTCCATCTAAAAATATTTGATTACAAACAATTTGAAATTATTAGTTTTGATACCAAAAATAATTACAAATATTTATTTTGATACCAAAAAACAGGAAAGAGAATACAAATTCTACCCAATAAATTTGTTACCCTATCTACCCAGTAAACCAGTCGTTGACTACCCTATATACCAAAAAAACAAGAAAGACAATTGCTAATTTTTAGGACACTATTACTGAAATTGGCGGGTGATTATATATACATATATTGGCGGAAATCCTTAAAAAATTATTCTTTTAATATATAGATAACGAAATAAATTTTGTAGAACAAAATTGAGAAGACAAATAAAAACAAAACAAAAATGAGAAGACAAATTCCGAAGATCGCTAGAACCTAAGCTACAACAAAAACTAGATTACACGCCACAAACACAACAAAAAACTAAAAAAATCCAATAATGAAAAATTTTATCGTTTTGAAAAAAAATAATAATCAACACTTGTAAGATTAGAGAATCGGGGCAAGAGGATGCGGTCCTACGTATATTAAGCGCACCATAAGAGGGTGAGCCTAGGTGCACTATAGTGAGGTTCCATCTCAAAACTAATTGGTGATGTGAGGAGTAGCTCACTTGGCTTATATACTAGGCTCATTTTCACTATAGAATCAATGTGGACAACTCACAAGTGATACTCCAACACGTCCCCTCACTTGTGAGTCCTTCATAAGCCCATTGGTGATGGGAGAAGTAGCTCACTTGGCTTATATACTAGGCCCATTTTCCTTATATAACCAATATGGACAACTCACAAGTGATACTCCAACACGTCCCTTCACTTGTGAGTCCTTCATAAGCCCATTGGTGATGGGAGGAGTAGCTCACTTGGCTTATATATTAGGCTCATTTACTCTATAGAATCAATGTGGGACAACTCACAAGTGATACTCCAACAACACTCCCACACGGGATACGACCCGCTCCCAAATGAAACAAAACAAAAGCCTACCACACAAACACTAGGGGTGTTCGCGGTCCGGTTTGAACCGAAAAATTATCAATCTAGACCGCGAATCGATTAAATGATCAGTTAAACAGCCTTAAAATCCGGTGGTTAATTTTTTTAAAAATCCAGAATAGCTGGTCTGGTTAACGGATTACCTGGGGCAAACCGCCGGTTTAACCGGATCGGTAAATATTAAAAAACTATAACAAATATATATATATATATACACACACATTCAGTCATTCACTATGTCCGACAAATACAATACATTCACTTTCAATTTTTGGCATTTTGTTGACTTAATTTTGTAAGACATTATAGCTTTTCACTTTTTCCCCATTGATTGGGTTCAGTTTGCATAATTTAATCTTCATATTTTTTGTATTTTTATGTTTATGAGACGAAATATGTATTTTTATGCTAATGGGACGAATTGTGTATTTTTTATTTCATTATTGTTGTTTTTCTTAATTTTTAGGCCCAAATAATATCTTTTGGGCCCAAAATTGAAAAATAAAAATTAAGTCCATAATGAAAAAAAAAAAAAAATTGAAGACCGAAAACAAGAATTTTGGATTTAACCGGTTAACCGCCAAACCGGACCGTCCAATGCGCTTCGAATTGTGGCCGGTTAAAAAATAAAATCGGTCCGATTATGGACAAGAAAAAAAAATAACCGTTAGGTCCGGTTTGATCATGATTTGGGCTAAAACCGGACCGTGAACACCCTAACAAACACAACACAACTAAAATTGAAAAAAAAAAATAAAAAATAAAGGCCCTTCCACGACAGACAAACCACACCGGGCGCTACTTGACGCCGATATGTATCATGACAAAATCGTAATCTATTAATATATAATAAGGATTAACATAATTCATTTTTAGAAATAATTTCCCGCCAATTTCATTAATTATGGCCTAAAAATAGTAAATTAACATATCTCTATTTATTAACATACCTTTTTTATCCAATTTTTTTTAGGATTACAATAACAAATATGGAATCAAAATCAAAATAAATCTAAGAAATACACTTACCATACTTAATACATTTAATTTAAGAAATACACTTACCATACGTATTTTTAAAAAATTTTATAATACAATATAAAATATTTAATTAATAATTTTCAATTAAAGTTTCTTTTTCAGAATCAATCATATTTCTAATAATTGTTAGAAATAATTTATATATATATATATTAGTATTTACGTGAAAGTAACATATATGTTACTTATATGTTAACATATATGTTTAACATATATGTTAATCCTATATAATAAGGATTAACATAAATCAAATTTAGAAACAATTTCACGCCACTTTCATTAATTATCTCATAAAAATAGTAAATCAGATTTTTTCCTTTTTTTTTTATTAATAACATCAAATACTTTATATTGGTAAACAATAAGGAATCAAAATCTGAATAAATCTTCTATTTTTCCAAACAATTTGGAAATTCGAATGTAAATCCGAATAAATCATGATTTTAGAAATCGTGATTTCCAAAAAAATTTAAAATCCGAATAAATCGACAATGATAATCATAATTTGTATATATCATGATTTTAGAAATTTATTCAAAATTTTCTTTGCATGAATCTGAATCATAATTCATTCAGTCTATTATTATATTATTAAATTATTTGAAACCGCATGCTATAAGATTTGTATATATCAGATTTCTAAAATCATGATTTGTATATATCATCTTTTCACCAATTATACTTTTTTCTTCATTATCGATATGAAAAGGAAAATGAATTTTATATACCTTATCGGTTTTGATAATACAATGTTATAATCATTATCATTATTTATTTTAAAAGATAGTGTTTATCATTTATTTGATTTCAAAAGATGGAAAATTTTTCATAGTTTAGGTCTCTTTTTATTTATGCATTTACACAAATTAATTTAAAAACTCTAATAACGATTGACAACAAAATTTGTTATATATTGATTCAATCAACTAATTAATAAAAGAGTCCATCAATCACGAAATTAAAAAATAACACACGATCACTACATTTCAAAGA